ACAGATAGATAGATAGATAGATAGATAGATAAAACTTTATCTACTCACTTTCATTTATTAAACACTAGAAGTAAAGCCCAGCGTTGCCCGGGGATGTAACAGTAAGAGATAGATCAAGTATCGACCATCATAAAGACTGAAAAATAAAATTGACAAAGATTATTGTTTAAGGTTGATGGACACGCATGTCTTAATTATTTTTTTTTATGAATTGGTCAAACCCAAACTCAAACAAAAACATTGTTTTCAATCGTTATGAGTCTACCGATTGAATAGCATTTTATTATAAACAATTGTCTTGTAAATGGGATTTTTAAAGCATTCTGAATGTAAAAATAAAGGAAAAAGTGAGCAAGACAATGAGAAACACTACCTGTGAAAAAAAATTGAAGTTTTGTTGAAATTGGTTGAAAAATGTAGGAAATCCGATCCCATATATAAACGAACACACACACACACACACAAACAACCTGGGTTTTATAATAAGTATAACTCGATATGAGTTGTCCCTCTTTCATTCTGGTGACAGTGATGCCTCCTAATCGTGTTTTCAAATTGATTTTGTGCAAAAACAATTGTGTTTTTCCAATTTTGGGCGCTGTCAGAACCACCGCAAGGTAATTTTATGTAGTCCTGTGAAGTTTTGTTGAAATCGGTTGAAAAATGTAGGAAATCCGATCTAATATATAAACGAACAGACACACACACAACCTGGGTTTTATAATAAGTAAGATTGAGTTGTATTCCCTCTTGTCGATGAACTTGCCTGACTTTTCCATTAACCTGATGAATATTCATGAACACTTTTATATCTAAAAATTTTGAAAAACCAATAACCAAAAATATGTATATACAGAATTAATATGTAAAAGTTTTTTCACTTAACTGTGCAATATTTCCATGATGTTGACTTCAGAGTTTCATTTTAATATAGATATGTAACTATTCTTCTATTTAACAGAAAAATGCTTGGCTCTATTCTAAAATGCATTACTTCATGGATTATAAAATTTCTAATAACTTAATAACTATACATGATTAAAAGATGAAAAATTGCAGATTAATAATTTGATACATTTCAAATGTTTTGTAAATTATGTGTTTTTCTGTAAATTATAAGTTAATTAAATTTCATTTTTAAGTTGGTATCTATTCAGTAGGAATATTATGTCTTTCTTAATAATTCACAGTATAAAAAAAGTTTACTTTGTCTAAAATTGATTAATTAATGGAATATGTTCTAATCATGTCTGCTATAATTTGAATCTATCTAATTTATTCATTTTACCAAATTCATATTGACTTTTTAAGCTTTTCCATACAATCCTGATAAATCTTTCATTTTATAATTAACTTTTCAATAATTAATTTCAGTGTGTTTTATTAAAATCAAACCAGAACTTACTGGATACATTGTATAATATGGAACATGGCTTCTCTGAAAGCATCATTTTGATTCAAGCAAACAACTAAACAGTTAGAGATTTTTTACTCTTGTTATAAGGATATCATTATAAATATTTAAATACGTAGAGCTGTTAAACATTATTAGGTATATCATGGACACTTTTTATTTATTATTATTTGAAAGTGTATAAAAATAAAAACAAATAAATGTATATTATTTTAGTCTGTCATCATGTTGACAAGCAGCTGACCCCACAAGTTTGAAAATTTTTATCATTTTCTGTACTACCTTCCAGCATGACCAAAGCAAACTCACCTCCCCTTAGAACCTAAATGAAGTTAACTCCCTTCGCTATCAGAAAGTGTCTGAGAGCCAAGATTGGGTTCTCCTGATTGTGGTATGGTGTAGAATCCTGTTGTCAGACACAGGGTCTTTGAGCAACCACCCTCTTGACTCAGGGCAGCACTACCTCTTCAAGGCACTTGAGGTAGACCTCCGTGTTGAGTCTGAGGCCCTGTTCTCAGATTGGCACCCAAACACTCTGAAATGTTCATATTGGAGCTTCTGGTGCGAATGCCAAGCAGTACAGCATGCCATTTCCAAATTTCTGGCTGAGTGGAATGTGTTATGGAACTCCTCTGAGTTTACAGTTTTTGGATTTATTCTTGTAATCTGTTTTCCTTATGATATTTTTGGTGTAATTTGGTTTTAGTTTTTAATCTCCCAGAACAAAAGCCAAATCACACCAATGCATTTAAATACATGATTTCATATAACCGAAATTTATGACATATATACATCATATTCTGAAAGGTGACATTTCTATGTGTATTTTTATGATTTGTACATGGGTTGTGAATTTAAAATATTTTTTACGTTAAAAGTAGAAATAGAAGAAAAATGAGATGCATTTTCATCATCTGATGCTCTTTTATTTCTGGAAAGGAAAAGAATCTTTCACAAACAGCAAAAAGGATATGTGCCATTTATGGAGATGGTACCATTTTTTGAGAGTACTGTTTGTAAATGGTTTGGTTGAAAAGTGGAAATTTTGGTCTGGAAGACCAACAATGTTCAGGCAAACCTGCAGTCATTGATGATGACCAAATTGAAATGCTGATTAAAAATAACCTGAGGTACAGAACATGGGACACTGCAGAGATACTTCATTTATGAATGTTGTAAGGCATTTGAAAATGCTTGGATACGAGAATTGCTACAATGTTTGGCCGCCTCAAGATCTAATGAAAAAAATTAAATGGACTACATTTCCATCTGCAATTTTCAGCTCAAAATGGAACAAAAACAATCTATTTTTTAAATGAATGATTGTAGGCGATGAAAAATAGATTGTTTATAACAATGTGGAGTGAAGATAGTCACAAAGAAAATGAAAGGGGCCAGCATCAATCACTCAAAAAGTCAGTTTGCATCCAAATAATGTCATGCTATGTATCTGACTGGAAGGGAATTACATATTCCAAGCTCTTTACACAAAACCAGACATGTATTGTTTCCAATTGGACTGATTAAAACCAGCAATTTCTCCAGGATGTGTAACTCACACAACTGAAGAATTTCAGTCTCTGTGTGTTTTTATGGGCAGGATGTAATAATTCAGGCTATGAGGACAGGATAAATTATTTAGGCTTTGAGGATGGCATCTAATGATTTAAGCTTTGAGGACAGGATCTAATGATTTAGGCTTTAAGGACGTGATCAAATATTTTAATCTTTGAGAGCTTTGAGGACAGGATCTAATAATTTAGGCTTTGAGGACAGGATCTAATGATTTAATCTAATCTTTGAGAGCTTTGGAGAAAGAAGGGATCCAATCATTGAGGCATTGATGTCTTTGATGAAAAGATTTAATGATATAGGTTTTGAGGATCTAATGCTTTGAACTTTTTTGACAGGAGTTTTTGATTTCAGCTTTGATGAATTTGAAGACAGGATCAGATGATTTAAGTTTCGACTGCTTTGAGAACAGGATCTTTGCACAAAATCAGTCACTGAATTCACATATGTGCCAATCTATTTTTTTAAATGAATGATTGTAGGTGATGAAAAATAGATTGTTTATAACAATGTGAAGTGAAGATAGTCACAAAGAAAATGAAAGGAGCCAGCATCAATCACTAAAAAAGTCAGTTTGCATCCAAATATGTCATGCTATGTATAAGGGAATTGCATATCCCAAGCTCTTTACACAAAACCAGACATGTATTGTTTCCAATTGGACTGATTAAAACCAGCAATTTCTCCAGGTTGTGCAACTCACACAACTGAAGAATTTCAGTCTCTCTCTGTTTTCATGGACAGTGCCGCACTACATGTGGCTCAGGCTTTCAGGGAGGTGAATGATTTTATAAATCACCATCTCTAGTCTGGTTGCCAACCAAGGCTACAGAACCTAAGCTACCCTGCTATTTAACCCAAAACTGGTGGAGAAGAGATGGGTTCATACCTTTCTAAGAGTATTAATAATAATTACTTTCTGAGTCCTCTCCTAAGCTGCAATAATTTGCACCACCCACACACCAGTAAACGATAGAAAGTATCAGGAATTGGACAATCAGACGAATGCTTTCCATCAGAATAATGGTGAACCTCATGTATATTTGCACATCAGGCAGAAATTGGTACAGGATGACTGAGATGTTCTACTACACCCACTGTACTCACCTGGTGTTGCAACAACAGATTACCACTTATTTTGATTGCCACAAAATTCCCTTAATGGGATAAACTTCTGTTATTGGACTTTACCCATAATAACATAATGGACTATTCCATACATAATAAATACTGTGCCTCAAAAGGAAGCAGAGAGTTCAGTCTGAAGTCTGGAGTGAAGTCCATCAGGAGTCAATCAGTCAGTCAGAGCGAGTGAGTCAGTCAGTCGAGTCAGAGGCAGTCCGAAACAGAGTCGCATTCAGACAATTATACTAAACCTGATTGTTCGTACTAACACTTTCTACTACTCTGTATATATTCCTGTTTGTAATATATCTGTGTTATTCCATATACGTGTTTGAGTTCTTCTTTATTGGTTCTACCTTGGACTATCACCGTGGTACAAGGAACCGGACCATAACAACTTCAATTCTTTGGAAGCCTGCAAAAATCATTTAGAGTAGTTCTTCACCCAGAAAAATGCTAGGTTCTGGGTGGACAGAATCATGAAGCTGCCTCAAGGATGGTGAAAGGTGACTGAAACAAAATGACACAGATTTGGTTGTACAAATATCTAAAGATTGTAGAAAGATTGCTCTCCCAGGCTAAAGAACACCATTTACCGAATTTAAGCATTATCTCTCTTATTGCAAATCAATATCATGCAGTTTGAGTGTATCCATTAAAAAGTAATGGTTTTATTGCATAAAAGAATATATATATATATATATATATATATATATAAAAATATACATACAAAAATCAGTTTTTTTTATTGATCTTCAAATATGCATAATCAAAGACAGTTTGTATATCCAAATATATATTGGTATAGGAGGAGGTCATTCAAAATTTATCTGAATGTGAATAACAACAAAAAGATTCACTAAAGTCTCTCAGTTTCTGAGAAAGCACTTTAGATAGATAGATAGATAGATAGATAGATAGATAGATAGATAGATAGATAGATGTAAACAGACTGACATTCATACATACATACATAATGAACAGATTGAGATAGATATGAACAGATAGAAAGATAGATATATAGACAGACAGACAGATAACAGATAGAGATAGACAGATACATACATAGATAATGAACAGTTTGAGATAGATAGATAGATAGATAGATAGATAATGAACAGATTGAGATAGATATGAACAGATACAGACAGATAAAAACAGATGGAGATAGATCAATAGATAGATAATGAACAGACTGAGATAGATAGTGATGAACAAAATTAGATTTATAGATGAATATAAACAGAATTTAGATAGACAGACAAATAGACATGAACAGAATTAGAAAAATAGATTTTTTGATATGCATATAACTATGAAAAAACAGAGACACCAAAATAAAAATTCATCAAAAAATATTTTGCCCCTTAAAATCTTTTCCTCTAAAATTAAATCCCAAATGAGAAAATCGTTGTTCCTTGTAGCATCTAATGTGCAACTCAATCAAAATGAATGCAACTGGTAAGAAAAATAAAGAAAAATTGAAGACAATCGATAAAACAAGTGAAAAGAAATCACTGTGTTAATTGGAAGAACAATGTCTTGTGTAAATTCTGGTTTTAAGGAAGACATTCTGGTTGCTCTACGGGCAGACAGTTGAGAAAATGGCGGAAGGATTCAATACTGACTTCTCCCTTTGAATCTTGCTGAGCCAATTGGTTGTAAAAGGTTTCAAGAGCTTCATGATCATAATTGAATCCAATATTCATGAAAATTTCCTTGATCTAAAATAGGAAAAGAAAAGAAAAAGAAAGATTAATATTTATGTTACACTCTCTTTCTAAAGGAATAATATGCCCCAGCTTATCCATTTTTCCAAACTTTTTTTTTATATATATTCTGTTTATTCTTGCTTCATTTGCTTTCATAAATATTTGCCCATTATTTAAACAGAAATTAAAACCTATTGATAAAAATGGAACCTAACTTTGTATAAGGCTCCCTAACATTCTTTTGTTCCGTTGTTTACAGTTTAATTAAATATTGTGGCTTAAAGAAAACATGATCAAATTATCGCATTGGCTGGTATGAAGAATTGTGAGGTGATAAAACAGTTGAATGTTTTCAGAAGAATTGCTTTTATGTGTGGAAAAAGCTTTACAAGAAGCAAACAACCTCACCAAATCCAATTCCCAAAAGAAACTGTTCAGTTCATATTGGGAGTCATTGAAGCTGCCAAGAAGAAAATGAAGAGAAATCCACAAAGAAGCATAAGGAATGTTATAAAATAAAATAAGACATATCCTGGCTGATTTACAGCGAGAGCCGGATGTGAACGGGACAAAACCCCGTCACAAAATGACCATTATCTTTGTTTACAAATGTTCCCGACACACGAGTTCCGGTCAAAAAATAAAATATTTAAAGTGTTCTATTTTTCGTCCAATAAAAATGCTTCTCCCCTAATTATACTCGCTTCGTTTTTCGAGCCTGTTAAGCCATAAAAAAAATGCTATAAAAGGGGTCACACGGAAGTTCAACAGGCAATCCACAGGTGCTCAGGGTAGAGACCTGTCACAGTCAGCAGCTGACAGCAGGAGAGCATCAACTACCGTCAACATGTGTGAACTACTATGAGAGATCGACCTAGATCCGAAGCCGGCTTATGAACTTTACCACAAGGTAGCTGTCCCAAACCCACACGTTCCTGTTGAAATAAACCACGTAAATCTATTTCTGCTGCTGTCGTATTTCTTTCTTGTAACCATACGCTTGTCTATAACAGGAATAATGGCAAAAGAGCTGAATATTTTGGATCGGACACTAAGGAGGAACTAGAGTCAGTTCTAGAGCTAAAACCACACAAGATTCAACAATGACAGTGGCACTCAAATGCCTTCACACAAAAATGATTTGGCAGAGGGAAGAAAATTTTGGAAGGGATGCAGTGTGTCACAGGCAAATTCTTTGTTTGTCTGTGAAGTAGGTTTTCACTGTGGAGGCTGTGGTCAACTATCAAAACACAAATTTCCCAGGAAACACACCAGAAGGTCTCAGCACATGTAATGGGATTTTATTTAAAAAATTTGTTATCATCTTGGCATCATCACAAAAAACCTATCCAGTCATCATGAACTAAGGTTTTATCAATCCTAAGACAACATTAATCTCAAATCCTGCTAAGAGCTTATGTACTAGATGCGGCATAAATATTTTTGCATTATTTAAATATAAATTGAGACATGCCTATTCATAAAAATAGTTTCAAATTTTGCATAAGGCTTCCTAACATTCTTTTGTGTTATTCGTTAGAGTTTAATTAAATATGGCAGCTCAAACAAAACGTGAACAAATTGTCCCATTGAAAATGGTTGGTATGAAGAATTGGGAGGTGATAAAACAGTTGAATGTTTTCAGAAGAATTGCTTTTTATGCGTGGGAAAAGTTTCAAGAGAAGCAAACCTCAGTGAATCCAATTCCAGGAAGAAAACATTCAGTTTGTACCAGGAAAATCATTGAAGCCGTCAAGAAGATGATGAAAAGTAATCCACAAAGAAACATAAGGAAAATGGCAAAAGAGCTGGATATTTTGGATAGGTTGCTGAGGAGGATTATGAAAGAAGATTTAAGGCTAAAACTATACAAGAGTCAACATCAACGGCCATGCTCAAATGCCTCCACACGGAAGAGAGAAGAAAAATTTAGTGAACATTCAGCATGCCACAGACTAAGTTTTCATTTTGATTTTTTTGGATGCAAAGTTTTTAACTGTAGAGGCTGTGGTCAACTACCAAAATAATAAGGTTTCTGCCACTTCACGAGGAAACATTTCTAAAAGGTGTCAGAACACATTTCAAGCGACAGAAATCGTCTGGTGTCATGACTGGAGCTGCTGTTTTTTCTGATGGCTCAAAATAACCCTTGGCATTCATTGACATATAAGCCTTCCCTTCTCCTCTCCAGCTTAAATAGGAGGACAGATTGTGTTCTATAGATTTGGTTGGTAATCATTCCAGAGGTGATAACTTGATAAAATCACCCATCACCCAGCAAACCTGGGCCACCCATGAAAACCTTGAAAATGCACAGTGACTGCAATTCTTCAGTCATGTGAGTTGCACATTTTGCTACAAGGGGAGAAATATTAGTTAAATATGTTATCAGAAATAACCAATCAAAACATCCTACACTAACTTTTACACACTTTAGTGTTCAGAATGTTTCATATATATATTTGTATATTATCTGTTACTTCATGACACATGACATGTATCTAACCAATAAGAAATAACCAAACACAAAATACCATCAATCTGTGTCTCTTTGCTTTTTATCATTTCTATCTTGATCTCTGATGAACCCTTAATAAAGTGAAACATTAAATTAGGATCTGTTTCCTGCTTATTCTTTATCCTATCATATATATATATATATATATATATATATATATATGAGAAACTACTTTTGCAGTTTCATAACTGGATTTCGCATATCTCATTCCATATATGCCGCAGAGGAAAGTCATGAAATCAAGTGTGTGGGTCACTTCCTGGCAAGTTGAGGTCCAACCTAAACAAATTCACACCATTGGCACTTTTTTCTACACTGATTTTCTTTCACCTTCAACCAGCTCTTGCAAAGCGAAGCAGTGACAGGGAATGGATGACAGGAGCCGATTTTGATGAAACTGGAAGCTTCATAGTCTTGAACCTACATGTTGGCAGCAAATTTAGTTATCAGTTGTCATGTATTGCGGATACAACTGACAAGACCAGTGTGGACCTCTTTGGAGTGGAAGACGGATGGGTGACATAGATGGAGAGGCAGACCATTCAAGACCTGGTAGAAAACCCTAGAGGAAGACTTGGCTGAGATGGGGTTGACCTGAAGGGAAGCTGCAGAACAAGCCCAGAATCCTGGTTCCCAGATTTCATGAGTTCAAGCACCCTATGAGGCTGGCATCCCGCTCTAACCCCTTCACTGTCAAAACTCCTAAATGTAGCCGTCTCTTCTACTCTAATAGCTTCATGTCTTGCATCTCTCACCTTTGGAACTCCCTTTCCTATTCCAGTTTCCCTGAGAGCTATAATCTTCAACTATTCAAATGTAATGTCAATCGACATCTCCAGTTAACTTGATCTATCCACTACCCTCCTCCTCATCCTTTCTTCTATCACTCCTATCTGATCTCGCTCTATATTTTCTGTAACCCCTTGCATCCTAGTGGCTTCCCGCCTTGCTTGGGGTGAAATGCTTAAAAAAAAAAAATCATGCTCGATGGAGAGCTCTTGTTGCTCAATGTTCCATAGAGAATGAAAGGAACTAACTATTCTATATTATATTATGCAGGTCAGGCATGGCACCGCAGAATAAAAAGTTAGGGGTCTAAATCAGATGTTAAAAGTTGCCTGGACTAAGTCAAATGGTAAGTTTTAAAAATTTCTGATTCTATAATTTTCTATCCGATCCTCTCATAAAGTGAATTTATTTTTTATGTCACTTGTTCCATTGTAAATTTTTTTTTGGTTCTGACTTTAAATACACATTTTTTGCTGTTAATTTTTCCTTATTTTCTAGAATAAGGCCAACAAAACTGAAAAGTAAGATGAAGTTTTCTGATTTATTTTAAAAATTAATGGCAGCAATGATTTTAGATGAAAGATACGGCTCAGCTCAACAGCACTAAAGCCAAGACGACAATCTCTGTGATTTTATATATATATTATATATATATATATATATATAGCAAATAAGAAATATAGTTTTAAGGAGTGCTATATTTATGGGATAAAGTGCTCAATATCAGAGATAGAGCATATGTAAATATAAATAATCCAAAAATGAACACTAAGTAACACTTGAAATTGTTAAACTGTTTAATGCATTTTGCAATCATCATGCCTGAAATTGTTCTTTTAACAGCCTTTTCGAAAATGAGTGTTGACTTAATGTTCAATAAAATATATATATATATATATATATATATATATATATATATATATATATATATATATATATTAAATTCTGTTACCTTCAGAATCTAAGACTCGAGTTTTGTAAATGGACATTCAGGAATCACTTTGTCCACTTGTCAGGGAGGTATCAGCAATTTACTGCTTTAACTTTAAACTTTGCTATGAAACATGCCTTTCTGCTAGAGCAGATAGCCAATCCCTATTGAAAACACCTGCTCAGGCACATTTGTGCTTGTTAAACACCCATAGAGGCCACCTGTGGTTTATACTGCATCTATGCTGAGTGAACATTAGTTACAGTTTCTGGGGGAGTGCACGTAATCTGCCACAATCAACAGTCAGAATAATTCCAGTACACTTAAAATTTCAAAACAAAACTGTTTTTTCTCTTCAAAAAAATAATGTCAACCATCAATGCCTCCTAAATAATTCCATTTATGCAATTTCAATTACAAGGCATGGTATGGTTTTCAGGCACTTTCCAAAAGTGCCACAGGCAGGGTTCACTTTGCAGGAGAATAGAATGAAGTTACCTTCCTGAAAATCAAGCTTGGTGAGATTTGAACCCAGGCCCCATGATCAGAAAGTGAACATTCTAACCAGTTATCCTTGTCCCTATATATATATATATATATATATATATATATATATATATATATATATATATATATACCCCTACCATATGTGGCATGTGTGTGTGTGTGTTGTTGTTCTGATGAGTTTTCCTCTATGGTACCTAGACTTTATGAATTTAAAAAAAATACCAGATTGGCAGCAAGGTCACATCCTTTCATAGTTGAAATGGTTAAATGTAACCATAAGTTTCTTTTCTTGCTTGTAGAATTATCTTCTGATGGCTTCTTGCTTCTCAGTCAATTATGATCTTCAAAAATTTAAATGCAATATCAATCATTATCTTCTGTCTTCTTAATTCCTGTTCTTTTATTGTTCTCTCTCATTAATAGTGTTTTTTTTTTTTCATATTCTCTCACACTCAGTAACCCCCTTGTGATTTTGTGGCTTTATTGCCTTGCTTGGGATGAAATGATTAAAAAAATATATATATATTTATATAATTATTTATATATACATGGCCAGTGTAATGGTCTTATGGGCTCCTTTCTGAATCTGTGATACAGGGTTCCCAGTGTAATACACTTTCATAAAGTAGTATTCATATAAAATACAAATTTTATTGTAACGTAATTGTGTGCAATAATGTATCGTATACAATATAGGTGAACAATTCAACTATAAAAATTGAAAATAAATACAATGTATCTAAATACAAATTAGAGACATGTCATAATAGATCATCTCATCTTAAATAAATCAACAATGTTTTGCAGCAATTTCGAACATCAACTTAAGACTTTTCTTGTTTAAAACGCATTCAACATTATGGATAAAAAAAATAGTGAATTTTATATAGTGTTTTTCAAGACTTAGAAAAACAACTGATTTGTATGAAAAAAAACCCCGAAAAACCTTGAACCCAAATGATATCAAAATCTGCAAAAATTTAATAGTCATTTGTGTATAGTTTCATTTGTAACATAAATAAATGTAGGTATATGTACTGGGTGTAACAGCAAAATTGTCCAAATCATGTAACAACATGGGATATTTGTCCATCCCACAAAATGTTTAATATCTAAAAACCCACTGAACTAATTGAGTTTCTTTTTTCCAGGTTTTTAGATAAGACGTTTAGTCATTTTGACACCATTTGTTGTAAGAATCACTGAAAAACCCTTTGAGTTATTCAGCTAGAAAGAGAACAAGTTAAAATCATTTTTTGTCAGACCCACTATGTCTTCCCAACTGAGCAATGGTGAGAGAAAAAGATCACTCAAGCCTTCAGTAATGGTACTAACATTCATACTCTGGCTTCCATCATGAAAGTCCATTCAAGAACCATTAAGAGAATGGTGAATAAGATTAAAAAAGGGGAACAATAGAAAAGAAAACTGGATCTGGAATTCGCTACAGCAAGAGGGGATCATTTATTTCAACTTAGAGCTAAATACATTCTTATTGTTCAAAGTAGCGTGTTATAAAAACCTCATAGAATTCCAGTAAGATATCTTTATTCATTTCTAAGATACAATAGTTCAAAGCTTAATCTAACAATCAGACAAATGGAAAGTTTTACTGTTACACAATTTGTACAATTTTGTTGTTACACCTTGTGTATATATATGTATATATATATATATATATATATATATATATATATATATATATATATATATATATATAATTATTTATTTAAAATTTGATTCCAACACTACATAAGAGTTCTCATGTTTCAAAACAAGAGTGAAAACTTCAATATAATTATTTGAATTAAATTGAATTAAAGTACTAAGCTCTGTTCCATCTTCAAGTGAAATTTTTTTTTGAATAGCTTATTCCTGAAATTTACGTGTTTTAAAAGCATATTCATTATTGAAATTAAAATTACTATGGTAACAGCTTGAGCAATTGTTTAAAGAAAAGGAGCGTAATGGTTAATAATTTGTATCAATATCTCAGTTACATTCACAGACGTCAAGTCAGGATAAGATTGGGGTATCTAAATTTAAAGCGGAAGATGACATCGTCTAGTCTGGTTAAGTGTCTATGGAGATTTATTTATTTTTTTATTATTTTTTTTTTTATTTTTTTTTTTTTTCTGAAAGGGTTTTGTGTATATAAAAAAAACTGTTGTAAGTCGCTAACATTTGTTTTTTTGACAACTTCATAAAGGGTTATCTTTATTTTTTTTTTATTTTTTTATTTTATTTTTTTTTTTTTTTTTAAAATTATTTAAACTATTTATTTAGACTATGGAATTTAAAAATACATATATATATATATATATATATACATATATATATATATATATATATATATATATATATATATATATAATATTTTATTTTAAAAATAGATTACAATAAAACATTTTGCAGCACTAGACAAAAGCTTTTCGTTTTCAGTACTAAGATTGTACTTCCTCAGGTGATGGTAGATAAATTGTGATAAAAATGATTTATTAGGAAATTTAAAAAATATTATCATTATGTCTTTATAGAAATTTAAAGGGATATATATATATATATATATATATATATATATATATATATATAGGTTAATGATATATAAATTTTTTGTATCAAGAACAATTTGTGGGTAAAGATGTATGAGAAAATATAAAACTTTTTCCTCTTATGTCACACATCTTTCTCCCAGATATATATATATCTATATATATATATATATATATATATATATATATATATTTATATATACACACTTTATAATTTACATATTAATGTTAAAGAAAAGCAGGTTTCAAATAATCTAGGAAATAAAATTTATTCTGACGCTCTCTTTATTTGAATAGACAGGTAAACAACTCTAAAAATTTGTTCCTTAGTTTCCTGTCTCCAACAAAGACATCTCAGACCAAATCTAGACAATTATAAAATATCTGACATTTCTGTTTTACTTTTCTTACTCATATTCCTTCACCAAGTTATAAAGGGAAAAAAAAAGACCTCAGTTTTCTTCTTGTTCACAAACAATACACAAAAACCCACCCAACAATGTCTACTTACCCAATCACAGCATTTAATGTGTCATTAAATAGAAAAAATAGCAAATTATTTATGACAAAGAATCCAGAAAGCTGGCTTACTTAACACACAGCATGCTCTTAAAGATACAATGGAAACTTTTAACCACACCTCATTAAATGATCTTGGAGTCGTCATATCTTTACTGGAAACCCCATTGCAAGCAAAAACAGTTGGGCACACGAGATCATGAGATGTTCCTTCGTCCCCGTAATTTATTCTGTCAGCAACAGGCTTTATCTGTGGTGGAGTAAGGTCGTAACGGATGGAAGGGATACCACTTTTTCTCCAGTCTGTAAATATAATAAAACACAAAAATGAATGTGTGCAACTGTCATTCAATTCCCCCCCTCCCTGGAATGAAGTTAAATTACTGCACAGAGAAGAACACTGGAGAATCCAACATTCAAAAGAATCAGCACATATGCTAGGCTATGAAGGCATCCTTAGTAGACCTAGCATAGAAATAAATATGATAAATGACGAAAGAGAAGTGACAGCAAGGTTTCAACAACACCAGCAGTTAAAAGTGAAGCCTCAGAAAGTGCAGTCAACCATGACCACTAGCAGCAGCACTCATCAACAGTCACATTGAGTTTAAGGCTCTCATAGTCTAGTGTACAGCACTTCTTAAACTATGGGTCATGACCTCATTTGGGGTCACAAAGCGAAATGCTGGGGTCACAAAAATTAAAATCAAACACTTGAATTTCAGTTTATATGTTATTTCACAAACACACAATATTTAACACGATGTGCCATGCAAGCACTGCAGTAATAAAACGCATGTACAGCACCATTGCGGCTAGTGCAGTGACAGTGGATGTATTTCCAGTGTAGTTGGTTAATACTTGAGGTCCCAAAAAATTTTGGGATGAAAAATGGGGTCATGAATGAAAAAAGTTTAAGAGGTACTGGTCTTGTGGATTAAAGCATTTGTAATAGGACATACAACCATTACTCTATCCCACAGATTCCAGTGTGACTTATGCTTACATCAATAAACATATGTCAATTGTTAATATAATCTATAAACATGCATATAATATATAACTGTAAAAAAAAATGAATCCAAATATAAGAAGCTGCAACCATAAATTAAAACATCTGAAACTAAACTAAATCTTCATCAACAATGGAAATGCAGTTTAAAATGTATTTAACAACTGGAGTCACATTTAGCCAATGAAGAAGCTCACTTGAAAAGCAAGTGTCAATGACATTACAATACATTTTAATGACCACACCAAGTTTTAAAAAAGTGTAATACTTTCTCGATCATCTTTACCTCAATTTTTCAGACTTCAATTATCCTGACTTGAAATAAAGAATAGAATTCAATTCATACAGGCAATTTTCAATTATCCAAACTAAACCGATTCTAATATTTCCTCTCAGACAGTACTCAATGTTTGATAAAAACACTGGTAAAATCAGTTCAATTAATTCTTGTTACTTTCCTTGTTGTTTTCATGCAAAGAACATACATTTGAATTATCACAGAAATAAATGACTGGTTCAATGCAGACACTCTGGCTTTGAACACCTAAGTGACACTAGGGTATTGTTAAAATTTTAACCATGCTGGAAAACATTGAAGAGGAGGTGAATGACAATGATATTGGCCAAGTTGAAGTTTCTCATCCAGTTTCAAAAACCCAAAGTTATGATTATGTTTGAGTTGGTGGTACTTTCAATCAGAAGCTAACCCATACAAATAAATCTACCTTAATTCAGCTTGTATTCAGTTGGTGTTTGCAACGATTACTACAATACTTCCACCATCTTGACACGAACATTGATGGTAACATTTTCTGACTGACAAGACAACTTGTTCTATGGTTTTACTTTTCTGAGGCTTCGTTTTGTTATACTTTAAAATTGAAATGGCCTCAATGATAAAACAAAATGAAAGTGTTGTGTTAACTGTTGAGGAGAAAAATATTTCTGACATTGTATTGTTGAACTTATATCCTTACCAAAAAAAAACTTGAAGAGAAGGAGGAGGGCAATAATGATATTGGCCATGTTGAAATTCAACAGGTCCAATTTCCAATTTGAAGCACGAAAGCAATGATCATATTTGACAAATGTTTGAGTTGGTTGTTTTCAACTAGAGACAACACTTGAAAATTATCATGCGTCAGCTTATGTAAGTCCCGTAAATTTATATTTAAATTGATTAAATCTATGGAATTATTTTGATGATCTACAATTAGATTTTTCTGTTCATTCACCCCAAAATAAAAAGAAAGTGTATTTAAAAGTCACACCAAATTCTCTCAGAGTGAGAACCTTTCTTTGTGCTACGGTTGGGCTGATCTTTGTGATCGCCCCAAATGTGGGCAACTCAGATGCATTATTTCTAAGTGTGGTGTCTGCATCCATTCTCACCCCCATAAACAAACCAAAAACAGATTTTCTTTTTCTTTTAAATTGTAAAAAATTTCTTGTAAGCACCTTGAATATCATCCGCACTTACAAAATGCGATTTCTGGTAATTTTCCATTCTGAGGGTTGGAGTTGTTCCAAGGCAAGCTAAACAAAGTTTGATTTAAAATTTATAATTTCAAAAGAGTGCCAAAAATTTAATTAAAAAAAAAAAAAAAATTTTTTTCTTGGAGTTAATTAATATTTGTGATAAGTAACTTTACATTATTTGGGATAAATTAACAGCAAATGTCCCTACAATTTTCACTGGTGCACATGGTCTTCCAGCCATAATTGAATAAAAATTTTAATTATAAAATTGTGATTATAATGTGAATTTTGAATTTATAAAACATTGAAATAGTTATTAAACAATTAAAAAATGGCTCAGGTTATTGAATAAAAACAATTGCTAAAGAGTTTCAGCTAAAAATTAAAAACTATAAAACTTTAAATTCTTCATTATTATTTAAATAAAACAAAAGATAAATGTTTAATATGATTATAGATAAAAATTCAAATCAAAAAATAATTAAATGTGAGAAAGTGCAAGATCACCATTGAAACAATATTGACAAATGTTTATTAATTTGGCTGACTTTTCAGCCAGAAGCAACTCTTACAAATATATTTACTTTAATCCAGCTTTGGATTTAGCAGCAGAAACTTCTGAATTTATCAAAACTCAAAGACCAAATTCATTTGTGGTTTTCAGACCATATTGCACTTGCAGCCAAACAATGAGATTCTTTGAAATTCTAAATTGGTATGTGGCTGTAACTTAGGAAGATAAAACTCACCAAACTGTCAAGAATCTTTTCACGTCATCAAAGCAACTATTCTAATTTAGCTTGGCAAAAAAAAAGGTGGGGATTGTCTTCATTTTCAGGATTGCCATAATTTCAACAGACTTGTCCTTTGAATTCAAGAGATTTCAATCTCCATTAGGATTTTGTTATGCCACAATCATCTATATGGCACAAGGACAATCCCTAAAGGGTGCTAGCCCTTATTTCTCTATGCTTTTCCTATGGCTAGTTTTATGTTGGCTGATCGAGGGTTTGATCTTCAAACAACCTTTTCATGCTGGAATGGCAATTGTTAAAGTATTAATGCTGTGTATTCAGACACCCTGTCAAATTAAAGGACCACATCAGTTTGGTTTTAGGCATCAGAATGTTTTACATGGGCAACTCATATAAATAATCTTTTTTTCATTTATTGCATTGTGTCAGAAGAATCTATGAAAATATTTTTTTTCTGTGTTATATTTAAAGTTGTTTTTCCCAGGCAATGCTAGGTGTCCTTGCTAGTTAAATTATGTGTAAGTTAGTTATGATTACCAGTAATGTATATTCAACCTGAGACATTTACTATTATTTTTCCCATGATTCCAAATCTTTGAAAAAAACAGAGCAGTTCTATGTTGGCTGATTGAGGGTCTGCTCTCCAACCAACCTTTTCATACTGGAATGGCAATTGTATGCTGTGTATTCAGAAATCCTGATAATGGTTAATAGTTCCTTATATTTATGGTTGCTCTTTCATCTAGAAGTGATCCTTACAAATACAGTAGAATCCCTCATATCCGGAATGCCTCATATCTGAAATCCCGCATATCCGGACATGATTTTGATGTTTATATTTGAACTATTTGGATGATATGTAACTGATTTGGAAATTCTGTTTTTCAGGAAATTTACTTTGGATAATTGCTTATTTCACCCTAATGTCTTGTATTGGTACAAAAGATGATGAGAATAAGAGGAAAAGAACAACTTTGGAATTATCGCAAAAAGTGGAAATTTTAAACAGATTGACGTTGGTGAAAGTCCAGTGTAACTAATGGCTGAGTTCAACATAGGAATGTCAATATTATATGATATAAAATCTTCCAAAGAAACTATTCTCCAGCGTTCATACTGTCACAATGAACAACAAAATAAAATGTTATTTGCTGATATAAATGCTGAATTCCTTTCAAAAAAGGTTTTTTTTCTTCATACCTTTTTGATAATTTAGGTATTCAATAAACCAGAATTTTTAATTCTTTAAATATATTTTTGCAACTGCTGTCCCAAGGTGTCTGGATAGTCAAGAAAGTAATGCATTTGAATATGAGAAAGACAATATCTACAGAGGCACAGCTCTTGAAAAGGACCAATAGTACATGTAATAAAGTAATTGGGAGTAATCTCCCTTGTTTTATGATTATTTCCCTTTGGAGAACTCTTTCATTTGAAGAGGACTATAAAGAAACACTATCCTTGTATCAATTATTCTAAGCAGAATAAAGTTTCCTCAAGCCTTCTCATACTTTCTTTTGTTATTGCAGTACAGTTAAAAGCACTTAATCTGCTCTGCAACATTAGGATAATATCTACAACCATTCAACCCAAATATAAGTGCTTTAAAAATCCAAAACAAATCAACTATATTTGAGTGCACTTGTCGCAGTGTGCCCAAACACCACTCACACCTTTTCTTAAACAACCCCGGATATGCCTGCTGGTAGAGAAAGGTCACGACCCTTGTGTGCTAAAAATAGCAACGACATCCTTTCAAACTGACAGAAACACACAAAATTCAATTTTCGCCACTAAACAAAAACAAAAGACCTTTAATTTCGAACCGAAATTAATTTAAATACAGTCAACAAACACCGAACACACTTTTGACTGTAATTAATACGTCCCGAAATTAATTAT